TGCTGGGAGTGTAACCGACCTGCGGATGGCGTGGCTCACAGAGGTCTCGTTGTGGCTGGCCACGATCAGCTGGCACTGCTGCCCATCCCGTGCCACCAACTCCAGCAGCAGGTCCAGACAGTGCTGGTAGCTGCAATACAGAGCGCCGGCGTGGGCCCGGGACCCTGGCGTCCTGCCCCCCAATCTCACACGGCGCCGGCCCGGGACCCCGGCGTCCTGCCCCCCAATCTCACACGGCGCCGGCGTGGGCCCGGGACCCTGGCGACCTGCACCCTCAACCTCACCCCCGCCCGGGGGTCATTTCTCCTCCGGTTCAGCATGAGACCCAGGCGTCCTGCACCCCACCACACATGCACACAAACCATGGGGTCACCACAAGCCCACCAGCTTCCTGTTGGGGTCAAGGCACCAGGGGCTGGGAGGGAGCCAGATATCCAAGCCCCTACCCCACTCACCTGTGGTTGGTGGCCTCCCAGGTGGGGTGCAGAGGGTCAGGGTATCCCCCCTCCCGCGCCAGCCGCCGCTCCTGCTCCAAGTAGGCTCCACGCACCAGCTTCACCCCGAAACAGAAGCCCCGGCGCTCGGCCAGCACCGCGTCCGCGCCAAGCCGCACCAGGCAGTCCTGCGAGAGCAGCGCCAGGCTCAGGGGACGGGCCTTGGGGGGAGACTGGACAGGGGGTGCAGGGGAGGGGCGGGGGGAGGCTGGTCAAGGGGGTGCAGGTGGGGGCAGGAGTGGGGGCGCAGGCCAGGGGGTGCAGGCCGGGGGAGGAGGGGCTGGAGGAGGCTGGCCAAGGGGGTGCAGGTGGGGGCACGGGAGGGGCAGGGGGGAGGCCAGCCCTGGGCATGCAGGCCGGCCCAGGGGTTGCGGCGGGGGCTTTGGGGGCACTCTGGCCAGGGGGTGCAGGCTGGGGGAGGCTGGCCCAGGGGGTGTGGGCCGGGGTGGGGTTGGGGTACCTGCAGGTAGCACTGGTAGGTGTTCCACACCCAGGGCTGGGCGCGATTCCAACGTCCCATCAGCGCCAGGGTGACAAGCGTCAGCGCGGGGTTCACGTAGGTGTACTCGGCGTCCACCAGCACCCGCACCCCCGCCTCCACCGCCCGCTGGGGGGAGACACAGTCAGACCCCCGGTACACCCGCACCTCCACCGACCGCTGGGGGCAGATGCAGTCAGACCCCTGGTACCCCCTACACCCGCACTCCCGCCTCCACCGTCCGCTGGGGGGAGACACAGTCAGACCCCCGGTACCCCTGACACTCGCACTCCCGCCTCCACCGCCTGCTGGGGGGAGACGCAGTTAGACCCCCAGTACACCCGCACTCAGACCCCCAGTACACCCGCACTCCCGCCTCCACCGCCCGCCGGGGGAAGAGACACAGTCAGACCCCCGGTACCCGCACCTCCACAGCCCACTGGGGGGGGAGACAGTCAGAACCCCGGTAGGAGGAGGAGTGCTAGGCAGAGATGGGCTCCACCTAACGAAGAGAGGGAAGAACATCTTTGCAATCAGGCTGGCTAACCTAGTGAGGAGGGCTTTAAACTAGGTTCACCGGGGGAAGGTGACCAAAGCCCTGAGGGAAGTGGGGAAATGGGATCCTGGGAGGAAGCACAAGCAGGAGAGCGCAAGAGGGGAGGACTCCTGTCTCATACTGAGAAAGAGGGACGATCAGTGAGTTATCTTAAGTGCCTATACACAAATGCAAGAAGCCTGGGAAACAAGCAGGGAGAACTGGAAGTCCTGGCACAGTCAGGGAACTATGATGCGATTGGAATAACAGAGACTTGGTGGGATAACTCACATGACTGGAGCACTGTCCTGGATGGATATAAACTGTTCAGGAAGGACAGGCAGGGCAGAAAAGGTGGGGGAGTTGTGTTGTATGTAAGAGAGGAGTATGACTGCTCAGAGCTCCGGTATGAAACTGCAGAAAAACCTGAGAGTCTCTGGATAAAGTTGAGAAGTGTGAGCAACAAGGGCGATGTCGTGGTTGGAGTCTGCTATAGACCACCAGACCAGGGGGATGAGGTGGATGAGGCTTTCTTCCAGCAACTAGCAGAAGTTACTAGATCGCAGGCCCTGGTTCTCATGGGAGACTTTAATCACCCTGATATCTGCTGGGAGAGCAATACAGCGGTGCACAGACAATCCAGGAAGTTTTTGGAGAGTGTTGGGGACAATTTCCTGGTGCAAATGCTGGAGGAACCAACTAGGGGCAGAGCTTTTCTTGACCTGCTGCTCACAAACAGGGAAGAATTTGCTTCCAACAAGGGGAAGCAAAAGTGGATGGGAACCTGGGAGGCAGTGACTATGAGATGGTCGAGTTCAGGATCCTGACACAAGGAAGAAAGGAGAGCAGCAGAATACGGACCCTGGACTTCAGAAAAGCAGACTTTGACTCCCTCAGGGAACAGATGGGCAGGATCCCCTGGGAGAATAACATGAGGGGCAAAGGGATCCAGGAGAGCTGGCTGTATTTTAAAGAATCCTTATTGAGGTTGCAGGAAAAAACCATCCCGATGTGTAGAAAGAACAGTAAATATGGCAGGCGACCAGCTTGGCTTAACAGTGAAATCCTTGCTGACCTTAAACGCAAAAAAGAAGCTTACAAGAAGTGGAAGATTGGACAAATGACCAGGGAGGAGTATAAAACTATTGCTCAGGCATGCAGGAGTGAAATCAGGAAGGCCAAATCACACTTGGAGTTGCAGCTAGCAAGAGATGTTAAGAGTAACAAGAAGGGTTTCTTCAGGTATGTTGGCAACAAGAAGAAAGTCAAGGAAAGTGTGGGCCCCTTACTGAATGAGGGAGGCAACCTAGTGACCGAGGATGTGGAAAAAGCTAATGTACTCAATGCTTTTTTTGCCTCTGTCTTCACAAACAAGGTCAGCTCCCAGACTGCTGCACTGGGCAGCACAGCATGGGTAGGAGGTGACCAGCCCTCTGTGGAGAAAGAAGTGGTTCAGGACTATTTAGGAAAGCTGGACGAGCACAAGTCCATGGGGCCGGATGCGCTGCATCCGAGGGTGCTAAAGGAGTTGGCGGATGTGATTGCAGAGCCATTAGCCATTATTTTTGAAAACTCATGGCGATCGGGGGAGGTCCCGGATGACTGGGAAAAGGCTAATGTAGTGCCCATCTTTAAAAAAGGGAAGGAGGAGGATCCGGGGAACTACAGGCCAGTCAGCCTCACCTCAGTCCCTGGAAAAATCATGGAGCAGGTCCTCAAGGAATCAATTCTGAAGCACTTACAGGAGAGGAAAGTGATCAGGAACAGTCAGCATGGATTCACCAAGGGGGAGTCATGCCTGACTAACCTAATTGCCTTCTATGAGGAGATAACTGGCTCTGTGGATGAGGGGAAAGCAGTGGATGTGTTATTCCTTGACTTTAGCAAAGCTTTTGATACGGTCTCCCACCGTATTCTTGCCAGCAAGTTAAAGAAGTATGGGCTGGATGAATGGACTGTAAGGTGGATAGAAAGCTGGCTAGATCGTCGGGCTCAATGGGTAGTGAGCAATGGCTCCATGTCTAGTTGGCAGCCGGTTTCAAGCGGAGTGCCCCAAGGGTCGGTCCTGGGGCTGGTTTTGTTCAACATCTTCATTAATGATCTGGAGGATGGTGTGGACTGCACCCTTAGCAAGTTTGCAGATGACAATAAACTGGGAGGCGTGGTAGATACACTAGAGGGTAGGAATCGGATACAGAGGGACCTAGACAAATTAGAGGATTGGGCCAAAAGAAACCTGATGAGGTTCAACAAGGACAAGTGCCGAGTCCTGCACTTAGGACGGAAGAATCCCATGCACTGCTACAGACTAGAGACCGAGTGGCTAGGCAGCAGTTCTGCAGAAAAGGACCTAGGGGTCACAGTGGACGAGAAGCTAGATATGGCATTTGGGGCTGTATAAGTAGGGGCATTGCCAGCAGATTGAGGGACATGATCATTCCCCTCTGTTCGGCATCGGTGAGGCCTCATCTGGAGTACTGTGTCCAGTTTTGGGCCCCACACTACAAGAAGGATGTGGAAAAATTGGAAAGAGTCCAGCGGAGGGCAACAAAAATGATTAGGGGGCTGGAGCACGTGACTTATGAGGAGAGGCTGAGGGAACTGGAATTGTTTAGTCTCCAGAAGAGAAGAATGAGGGGGGATTTGATAGCTGCTTTCAACTACCTGAAAGGGGGTTCCAAAGGGGATGGATCTAGGCTGTTCTCAGTGGTGGCAGATGACAGAACAAGGAGCAATGGTCTCACGTTGCAGTGTGGGAGGTCTAGGTTGGATATTAGGAAACACTATTTCACTAGGAGGGTGGTGAAGCACTGGAATGGGTTACCTAGGGAGGTGGTGGAATCTCCTTCCTTAGAGGTTTTTAAGGCCCGGCTTGACAAAGCCCTGGCTGGGATGATTTAGTTGGGGTTGGTCCTGCTTTGAGCAGGGGGTTGGACTAGATACCTCCTGAGGTCCCTTCCCACCCTGATATTCTATGAGTCTACCCCCGACACCCACACCCCTGCCTCCACCGCCCGCTGGGGGGAGACATGGTGAGAGCCCCCCCCCCCAAGCTCCTGCGCGTGGCCCCAGCTCTGACCTGGGTGACCCCGTCCAGCCGCAGCAGGGAGGCCTGTAGGTGCCGGTTCT